TGCATATGAGGTTGGTTATGCTGCAACTAGCTGTTCATCTATATTTATTTTTCAACACAGGAGACAGAATAAAACAGGACTAGAATTATTCTTCCACAAATCCTCTCAGGGAGTTCACACACCTTCTCTGCCCTCTCTACTCCAGTTTCCTTGTTACTTTTCAGTTTCATAAGTTGGCTAGATGGAGTCAAAAATACACACAAAATGATAAGAGCTGCCTTGGCAGCCCTCAGTGAATTCCCACCATAAGCACTTTCACATCCTCCAGCAAGGAAGCAAGCCAAGGTGTTTCATAAGAGCAACCCACAAATTGTAATGAAGATATTTAAGAAATTAACTGAAGCTTTCACCATTTATGCTGCAGCATCTTGCAAGGGTCTAAAAACTTCAGATCCAGATTCAAGCAACCAAAAGCAGCTTTTCATACAAAGCTGTTATCAACAGACCTTGTATAAAAAGGTGCTTAAAAATGTACACAAGCAGAGAAATAGAGGGAAATATGTTTCGGTTACACATATAACTCTGTACTCTGATGAATTTTGCAATGGAAGGCTGGGAGTCTAGCACAACATGAGAGTCCATCCACAGAGTAGAAAAAACACTATTTGTTTTTTGTACAAACCCTATTTTAAGTCTCTTCTAGCACAGAGACCAATTCTGTACTACTACTGCTCCTAAAGTTAATCATCAGAACTTGCTACTTCCCCTAGCTCTAAAAGACTGCATGAAAAGAAGCAAAGTAAGAAATAAAATAGTTGGCTTGTATAGTACAACCCAACTTCAACCAAAATCCAGGATACCAGAAACAAAACATTTTCATTTTGTTACTGGCAGTGAATGAGTGCTTTGTTTGTCCTCCTTACCTGCAAAAACAGTCTATTACTACTACTTCACAGAATCACAGAATCATTAAGGCTGGAAAAGACCTCCAAGATCATCAAGTCCAACTGTCAATCCAACACCACCATGCCCACTAAATCACGTCCTGAAGTGCCACATCTACACGTTTTTTGAACATCTCCAGGGATGGTGACTCCATCATTTCTCTGGGCGGCGTGTTCCAAGTGTTTGATGACTCTTTCAGTAAAGATACTTTTCCTAATATCTAATCTAACCCTTCTCTGGTGAAACTTGAGGCCATTTCTTCTTGTCCTTTCGCTTGTTTCTTGGGAGCAAAGACCAACACTCACCTCACTACAACCTCCTTTCAGGAAGCTGTAGAGAGCGATAAAGTCTCCCCATTACTTTTTGAGAGGTAACTGAGTGAAATGAACATATCCCAAGTCATCCCCTCACCTTAGATACACAAAATGAAGAGAGAAGCCAAAACATAGAGTAAGTTATTTTTATACAGCTCTTCAGCAGATCCTTGTAAGAGACCAATCAGCACTGTCAAAGTACGGGAAGCTCCCAAAGGACCTGGTGCTCCCTGTCACATAAACTGGACTCTTTTTTGCTCAGTGCAATACTGGAAAGAAGAGAACAGGGGCACACAAGCCCTGTGGCAGTCTCTGTGACACTTCAGCAAGTGTAGTGCTTCCAGATATGGGCAGCTCTAATGCAGCTGGCTAAACCACAACTACCCGCTTCACATCTCTTCTGGGGATGCTAGCACTGTCAGTCCCACACTCCAACCATGCTCAAGATCTTTAAGTGCAGACGGACTCAGCAAGGACACAGTCTGAGAAGTAGGCAGATGATGCCCGTGCAGAAGATGGGATAAACTGGCATTTAAAAATATGAGGCAAAAAACAATGTCTTCAAGAAGCTGCAGATGCCTGTCATGACCCAAATGGGGTGAGAATTTCCTCCCTTAGACAGACGTTTCCTACAGGACACAGTGCTAATTGCCTGTCTACACGTCTTTTTCTGATTTTCAGTGGAATACTTTTTCTTGTACACGATTACATGAAAAACACCACTGAGTGCCAGTTTGACTCCTCCAGTTGCTGAATTTTAATTTTTTGTTTTTGTTTTTTGTCCAAACTGCTTGCTGAAGAAGGGTGAGGAGACATTTAATGACAGCGTGTCTGAGGTGACCATGTTGTGTTCTCAAAAGTAAACAGAAAAATGGTGTAGCCTTTTGTGCATTTCTTCCTGATGTAACTCATGAAGTTCCTTCTTATGAATGCAAATTATTCATTAATATTTTGGAGAAGATTTGAACAAAATATTTTTTTAATCTTTACAAATAGTTTCAGTGGTAATCTGGATATTTTATTCCTTCCCTACTAAGACTGTTTATTAAATTCTCAACCGTAACACAATGACTGTATGCTAATCTGGGACTAATTTTGCTGTTGTCAAATTCAATAGCAAATTACTCAAGGACTTCACAGGTTGCTGGCTTAATCGTTTTCAAAGAATCACAGAATATTAGGAGTTGGAAGGGACCTCTAAAAATCATCCAGTCCAACCCCCCTGCCAGAGCAGGATCACCTAGACTAGGTCACACAGGAACACATCCAGGTGGGTTTTTAATGTCTCCAGAGAAGGAGACTCCACAACCTCTCTGGGCAGCCTGGTCCAGTGCTCTGTCATCCTCACAGTAAAAAAGCTTTTCCTCATGTTCGGATTGAACCTCCTATGCTCCAGCTTGCTCTCATTGCCCCTTGTCCTATCATTGGCTCCCACTGAGAAGAGCCTGGCTCCTTCCTCCTGACGCTCGCCCTTTACAAATTTATAAACATTAATGAGGTCTCCCCTCAGTCTCCTCCAAGCTAAAGAGACTCAGATCCCTCAGCTGCTCCTCATAAGGAAGATGCTCCACTCCCTCAATCATCTTTGTGGCTCTGTGCTGGACTCTTTCTTTTATTCAGAATCTCCAAGACATATTTTAAATGTGTTGTACTGACCAATACTGACTGTAAAAAAAATTCTCTTCAACTCTGCCTTGTTTTCCTCATACTCGGTACTCCAGGTTGTTTATTTACATTTATGAATTCTCTATATATATTTATGCTGCAAGCTTTTCAGAGCAGGTAATACTTTATTATTAATCTGAGCATTACATATCAATATGGTATTCTAATCTCAAGTCTTTAGATATTGCTTTAATATAAATTCAGGAACACTGATGATGATAAAAGGAGAGGGTGTTTCTGGGAATTTGGACTATGGATAGATCCAGACTGTGAAGCTCACGTGTGAATGCAAACTTTGGAGAAGCTTGAGGTTCATTACAGGGACAGCTGAAGGTCACTGCTTTCTAATGTCAGTCCTTTCTAAACATTCAAGAGTTATTTGTAGCTCAGTGACAATTAATCACTACCACACATACCACATCTGTGATTAGTTTTTGAAGGAGTGTACCTGAACTGTGAACTCATTCTACTAATCTTCCTGACCATCACTGGTCAAATTTAAAGAACAAAATAAACACTACATATGAGGTTGCTGCCTCTTCACAATTTCATATAGTCATTTCCCCAGAAGTGTATTGCTACTAAAATAAAATCTACATGGACAATTCTGCAACAAAAAAGTACTGAGGTCAAAGTTACTGATCAGGCAACAGCACTATTTTTGTGAGAAAAGTTGAACCTGAAGATACTAAAAAACAACCATCGTGTAAAGAGCTTCCTGGAAGGTAAACTAACATGCTAAAACACAAAATGCAACTTTGTGCACTCTCCCTCAGGATAGTTTACTTCCCAGTTCCTCCAATAATGTCTTGTTGAAATATTAAATGCAAATTGTGAAAAACCTAACAAGCATTCAGCATTAAAGAACTGCCATCAGACACTTCTCATTGTTGCTCTCATTTAGCTTCCACCTACTTCATTCCACCTCACTCAATGCAAGTCAGAAAGTTTCAGACACAAATAAAATTTACGCTGAATTGTTGTTCAGTCACAGAAAGTTTTTTCTAATCTTTGGACCAAACTCTGCAACTCTATCCTGCTGGCTCCATGTTGCTATTCAGGATATTTCACAATTACTGTCCTCTTTTAATGCTACCCCAAAAAACAGAGACTATGTCATATTAGAAGAAGAGGAGAGAAAAAGTTACCATCCCAGCAAGCTAGTCTGCACTGACTGCATTTTTGCTCTGCTCAAATCTCATTTGTTCCAGGAACTCCCCCCTAAACAGAATACAGAAATATAAAATATACAGTAGATACCTTTGAAAACAGCACTAATCAAGAGCAAATAAGAGTTACCAAAATAGACATTCAAGTAGTACTCTGTCAAAAGCACAGCTGAGAGGAAGGACATGTGGTTAACAGGAGTCTACAAAAAAATTACTTAACACTCGCTTCACAGACCCTCATCTACACATCTTAAGAACAAAAGCTCATCTCCTTTAGCATACAGCAAAGCACCATCTAGTCCTCCCAACAAAACGGCAAATGGTTTTTTTTTATTTTTCTCTTTTTTAATAGAATTTCACCCACATCACCAGACATAGACTGACGAATCGAGATTTCCCTCTTCCACAGGGACATCCGCACTTGCCACTCTCTCCAGCTGCTACTTCCCAAGATATAAACATAAGCTCAATAAAATACATCCTGTCAGAAAGTACCAGTATGACAGGATCCACTGCAAATGCACCTTTTGCTCTTACCACTGTCTCCCCTTTAATCTATTACCTTAATGTTACATCATAGTATGGTCTGAAAGAAATACAGCATAGATTCTCATAACATTTTTTTTAATTAAACTCATATCAGAATAAATGTCATTTCCTATCTTCTTCCTACCTACACTGACTCAAGTAATATCTTATTCCAGGAAGTGTTCCAGGGGACTCTGCAGCAGAAGGGAAAGAAATGGGATTTGTTATAAGAAAAAAAAGAGCAGTAGAAGAGTTTGATCCAAAATTCTACATTCCATCTACATCTGCCTTTGACCTTACTTACCTGATGAATAAACAAAACTCTAAATGTAATGGCAATTAATCTAGTTATTTTGACTGCTCTCGGCGCAGAAGCCTATAATATCAGCTCATACAACCCACAACAATTCTGCAAGGTATAAAAAACAGTTCTGCTTACCTTTCATCCCAAACTTAGAGTGTCTTCCAAACTTCAGGATAATGAGCATTATTACTAAGCCAGTGCACACCAGTGCTGCAATTCCCACCACAACATACACCTAAAAAAAAGGACACAAAGAGACCTTCTTGTTTTGTTCTCAGAAACTACCTTCAGAGACATTAAGCATACACTCAGATTAACCCAGTTAGGTAAAGAAATTCATTTCAATTGGGAAACATTTGCACTCAGATCAAAAAGTACAGAAGACAACCACTTGTTGAGGTTTCTTCTATCCTGCACAGAACAAAGACACCTCTGAGAACAACTTTTTCAACATCTTACACATTCAAGGCATATAGAAGGGAGTGCATATCATTCATTTTCCTCCCCGCAGAGACGCATGTTACAAGAAAAAAAGTAAGAAAAGCACATAGGAAAAACACTTTCACTGTAAGGGTGGTTGCACACTGGTACAGGTTGCCCGGAGTGGCTGCGGAGTCTCCATCTCTGGAGATATCAAACCAGAGTAGACACAGCCCTGAGCAACCACGCTGGCCCTGCTTTAAGCAGCGGGAATTGACCAGAGGATTTCCAGAGGTTTAGCCATTCAGTGACAGAGCTGTCTGGGATCCTCCCAGTTTTTCAGCAAGGTCCCAACTCATAGTCCACTCTTTGGTCCACGAACGCATATGCTCTCCACTGCCTGCTGCTTTATGGAGTCACTGATGCAGGGTGACAGCAATATCAACCAGGTTGGTCACCCAATACCAGTTTCCAACAAGCCAGTTCAGGAGACCATGAGGAAAGGCAGCAGAGGAAGAGGCTCACCAATTCAACTACTTATACTAAAATCTACTGCAAATTATTCAATCAAAAGCCTACATGAAATGTTTTAAAAACACATAGAATTTGAAAGTTCATTGCAGCACATCCTCTCTGTAAGGAGGAGTTGACTCCAGCACTAGAATTCAAACAAAAATATACAAATTATCTTGGATGCCTTTGTTTTGTAAATAAAGAATTGCTCTCCTTGGTTAAAATTAGAAGCAAACTCTTAGGGTAATATATACAAAAAATACAGTTGGTTGCTCAGAAAAGCATGAAACAAAATAACTTGCAATTTTACTTGGGCAAATTTACTTGGACTTAAAAGTGACTCACTCTTTCAAAAATGAAGAGCAGTCAAGAGTGGGTAGCATGGATTTTCCTTATTATCCCTTTTTTCTGAGTTTTGATTACAACATAGTAATAGCTCTGGTGTTTGGGTAGCTCATGGGCTATTACAGTCTCTGTAGTTTTTTGAGTTATATAGCCAGAGAGTCCACCAAGATTACAGATCAGGAAACAATGTATATACTTACAGTGATGCTATCTTCATTCTCTTTGTTGGAAACATCAGTAGAAGTTATTTGATTACTGTTATTTGTGGTGTCTCCAAGATCATTAGGTGTGGTTTCATACTCTTAGGAAAGGAAAAAAGGTTGCTTTTACAATTTCATAACCTTAAAGGGGAAAGGCTTGTCTTTATTTCTGTTCTATAAGACAGTAAGGCCACTAACAACTTGCTGAGCTCTTTGGAAGCAATACATAATTGCTGATACCGCTGGAACATTTGAGGGGGGGATGCCAACAACAGATAATCGAACAAATGTGTTGTGACTGATAAACTGAAAAGAGACATGATCTACACCATAATGTGTATCTCTACAGGAAAAAACTAGAGCTAAATACCACCACCATCCATAATGCTATTTTTATGTGCTTCTGACTTCCCATTAAAAATGAAAGACTGCCCTCTACACTGAACTTCTCTAGTTCAGCTTAGAAATCTGTTTGGGGATTTTTGTTTAAATGAGAAGAACTTGGCAGATGTCATTTTAGCTAGTTTATTACTGTCAAATGTGAAATAGCTGTTTACTTCATTTAAAAAAATAATAAAAATACTGTTGTGTGCACAAAATAAACTCTCATACAGGTAAGCCTTTAAAAAATTAAGTGTCTGAGATGCTATGGATAAATCTGATTTATCAAAATAATTCCACTGATACATCTGCAAAGGTGACTCCAGAACAATCAAAAAGAATGAACATGGATTAATTAATTATTTTAAAATGAAACAGATATTTACAGATGATGACTTCCAGTCAAATTATTCAAATGAGGTAAAAAGAATTAAGTAATACACATATGAACTTAGAGAAAAGTGCATTAAAATAAAATTTAAAATGCATATATTTTATGGTTACATCTTGAAATATACATAATGTTTCAATTTTATAACTGTAATGCGTGAAGATGAAAAACAAACAAGGGCAATAACTGCACCTATTACAGAATGCACCTCCAGCATTGCAATTTGAATTTTCAATTATTTCTTTACACATTTTGATTAAAATCAGTGCCATAAGCCCAGAGATGAAATTTTAACTGAGAATCTGAAAAAGCAGAGTGCAAAAGCATAGCTCTCACTCACTACAGAGGCAGGAACTCTTTCAGTTACAGAACTGCTGCTGAGCAAGGGCAGGGAGGGCCTGTGCCTTTGCAGAATTTATCTTCTTTAGCTCCCAAGTCCATTTTGGAAAGCTCAGCTAGCAATGCTAGCAACAAGCTGCACTGGGCTTTTGATATTCATGCATGCATGAACACATTTGCTTTCTGCAAAGCACTCAGCAGGCTGCAGATTTTTTGGTATACAAAGATACACAGCTACCTCTGGCACCAGCGCTACAGACACTACAGTCAGGTTGTCTAATCAGCTCATGCTTTTTTGGCTTTACACCATGCATACTGAAGGACAGGGCTCTTTCAAGCCAAAATACGTATTAAGTATACAGATTCTTCATGAGAAACATAATTTAATTTCCTTGTCTTTTACCATCTGAATTCTCTGACTCAGCACTGCATCTCTGCCTACAGCTTCCTATCCAGCAAGGTTAGAACAGTAGCAAGAGGTGAACGAACAGCACTCCTTAGTTCAGGCAGCACAAACTCTGCCTAAATGGCTCACCTGTGCAAGCAGCCTGGATGCTCAGACAATGTGCTGTGCAGACCACCCGCCACCATGACTACATGCTTTGCCACAGCAAAGGAGAAGACTACTGTTTCATTCATTTGCAGGGAGAGCCTACTTTATAACAAGTATCTCAGCCTACAAGATTTGGCTTCATTTCTAATTATCTGGGAAAATCTTCACAGAGACAGTTTTGACCAACCTTGTATTTATAGCAGCTTTATAAGACAAATATGTAAGACAAATATATAAAACAAATCTTCAGATTCTTCACAGCTCTGGCTCTGTAATACAAACTTTCAAGAGAGAAATTTCTTGCTCTTAACTCAACCTGTAAATAGCGGTGAGCAAAAGCCAATGCTATTTGCAGTTCTGTCTATGCTCATGTCTGTACTAAGCTACTGGAAGTCACACCCTGAAGGGTTAATGAGCACTGTTCCAGAGTGTTTCAGGTCTGGTCTGAATCCTCTGCACTTTTAGATTAAAATGGGCAAGAACCAAAATAGGCCATGCTTTTAAACTGGTGTTGCGTCGCCATACCCCACTGTATAACTGTGAAGCACTTGCATGTGAAGTAGTGCCAAATCTTCAAAGTCTCTTGAAATGGGTGAGCCAGGCAAGGAAAACATGCACAACAGCTATCCAGCCGAAACAGGGCAATTCTTAGTTAAAGAAATTCCTGTTCATTTCACTGTGAATTCCTGACATAGACACCAAGCACTCTGATGCAGACAGGGTCACGCCTCTTGACTCACGCTATGTGGGACTTGCACCGCTTCAGGGCCAGGTTCTTCAGTGCTGCATACCTCATGCAGCCACTACCCATCACTATGCCAACTGCGGTGAATCGCAACCTTGGCTAGGCAGTATTTTGCAGCTGTTTTACAAACAAGGTGCATGGTGGCTGGGATACAGGCAAGAGCACAGCCACACCGGCACTAGGGGGGGTCACTCTGCACTGTCTTCCAGGGGTTTGGCTGACATGGGGCATGTTGTCTCTCTCATGTTCACTACCACGCTAGAAAAAGCATAGAGGGGAAAAGAAGGCCAGGGACCCCTGCCCTACATCGTCTCTGCCTCCATCTTCTCACAGCCTGGTCCTGCCCCATCATGAGCTCTGCTGATCCAGGCCCACCTGTGGGCCCGTGGCCTGGCCTAGGCGCCAGGGAAGTGCCTGATGCCTGGAGCTGTGGCTGCCCATGGGCTCCCTTGCTGTCCCACTCCTGGCTGGGGTGGCAGGATAAGTCAAGCCTTGCCCTGATGAACCCCCATGGGGAGCCCCCAGCCCTCTGGCATGCCAACACTTGCAGGGAAGTACCTTGCAGCTCCCACTAACTTTACCCATAGCCAACAGACTGACACATAGCTAGTCCCAGTGCGCAGCAGGATCAAATCCTCTGCTGTCATCTTTACCTGTTACACTGGGCACACCTTCAACATGATTAGCACAGGGCTCTGAAAAACGCATTTTAAAGGGAAGACTGCGAGGTGGGTGGTGCTTTAAATCTTCCTTCCATTATAATTTAAGTTCTGGGTAAACAGGTTAGCATAGAGTGGTCTGAAAAAAAGTCATGAAAACCACTCAGTCTCCAGGGGAGCTCATCCCAGGGGTCCCACTCTCAGCCACACAGGCAGTGGTTCTCTGAAGAAGTGTATCAGTTCCTAGACTTTCCAGCCAGACTCATTTATTCACCCCACTAAACGGACTTGTGAATTTGCAATAATTAGGGAAACACTCTGGACTACAAAGGGTTTCTCAAAGCAAGCACTGAGTCACTGAAACAAACATCAAAGACAGTAGTTTCAAACAGCAGACAGAAAAGCCAAGAATAAAAATGAAGGCTGCTTTCATCAGGACTAGATCTTTCAGGCTGTGAACCGCTAGCACAACTTGAAGTGCCCACCTCAGCAGAAAATTACTCAAGCCCATGGAAGTACAGCACTCACATGGTTAAAGAAGGCACCAGGACCTTGACAAACAGCTCAGAATCAAAGTCTTCATGCGTATAGCTTATATAATACAACATATACAACAAATTGGGCAAACCATCACCGCCTTCCCACCCCCAGCCCCTTCAAAATAGAGAATTTGGAAAGAGAGAGAGGAGAAACTATCCTTTAGTATTTCTAAGCAGTTAAAGCCAAATTGATGCTTCAATTGCACATTTGCTAAAGTTTAATGACATGGAATGGAATCAAAGCAATAACATTTAAAACAGCTTAAGGAAACCTGAGTTATGGGCCATTTCATCCAAATAAAAAGTATTCCAAACAGAGTCCAGCTTCGGCTGGAAGCTAAAGGATGTTCGAGTATGTTGGTTAGGATGGACTCCTACTCACCGGAAGTATACCAGAAATACTGTGTAAAACTAGCCAGTCGGTCTTCATTTTGCAGTGTTTATTCTAGTGCACACTGGCTTTCACTAGGTATGGACCAAAACATTTCACCTAACTGAAAAAGTAATGTGAACACTGTGTCATCAAATCTTCTGGCACAGACTCAGGTATCACTGAGTTGATGGTCTGCTTATGCAAGAGAGATTAAGGGAAGGTATAAATGAGCAGACAGAGCAAAATAAATTGCCTACAGGAAAACTTACTTGTGCCAACCTCACATTTAAGTGGGATTTAGGGGTACATTTTTGGAAGCAAAACAAGTATGGAATTATCTTTGAAAAAATAAGTTATATAAGGAGAAACCATGAACTCTCTTTCCTCCAAGAAATGCCTCCAAAAGGTTCACAAAATCTCATGTCTATGAGCTACATCAGATGGCTGTCATCCTACAGGATCAACTGCAACCATTCATAGCAGTGGATTTATGCTTCTCCTAACGTGAATCAAAAGCAGCAGAGTAAGTAAAACAACATATTGCCCTCATTTATCTTAAGTAATATAAGGCAGAAGAAGAACCAAAGGTATAAAGTACCTTTTAGAATTGTGTTACAATATGTACCATTTCAATTTAACTGACCCTGACATTCAATCTTTTAATGGTTTCAGTTCCTTCATTTCTATCATTAAAATAAAAGAAAAAGGAAATCAAATATATACCATAAACATCTGGATCCACAATTGGGCCACTACCTGTATATGGAGGAGAAAAAAAAAGAAAAAGCCTTTGTAAATAGATTGCAAATGCTGGAAGAATAAGAGTTTCTTTAGGAATGTTTTTAAGAGTTCACATGTTATTTGCAATAGCAATGATCAGTACCTACACAAATGCAAAGCAACATCAACATATTGCAGTAACTGTTTATCAGATTACATTTACAACCATTTTAGAGCTATCCCATAGGTTAATACTTTGGTTCATGTGAAACAGCTAATGCACAGGGCACTAGCTCTGGCAAAGACAGGCATGTTTCCCAGCTAGGCAAAAGTCTGCTTTCTACTGTTAATGTATATCTGGAATAAGTGCAACAATAACTATTCGTGTTGAAAAATCAACGGTAAAATTCTTCCTGGCCTGGCCAGACTTCAGTGAAAATTAATAATCACTGACTTTTACCTTGTCAAAAAATTTTGTTATTAAATCACCATAAGAGCAAACCAGGTTAGCTGTGAGCTGGCAAGCTAAGGGCGAGAGACAGCAATGACCTAAGCAGCACCATTTCATTGCTCTGTAAAAGGATGCTTCCAAGAAGCCAGCTGCACAGCTGATACATAGACAGAACTCTTACCAAAAGAGTCAGATGTCTTGGAAGCCAGGCTTTACACAAGCAAATGAATAACCATCTAGTCTACACTTCTCTAAATTTTGCTGGTTCCAGTTTGCAGCTTTTTCTAATTACTGCACATATGTAAGGCTGAGCACATATGTGAGTATAATGCACAGAACACTCACTGCAATTAGCATACTATTAGACCACGCACACTTCGAAAGATACTTGTGTTGTATTTCAACATACTCATTCATTCTGGTCTAAAATGTATTTATAGCATAGCTTATATAGTAGGCACCTAATAATCTCTTTCATATTTTTACTTTTTTTTTTTGTTTGGAAACAGAATTAACAGATAGTTAAAATATCTAAAAATGACTCAAACTTCAAAAATTGTAATTCTCTTTACAATATTATAAGGAAAATCCATAGCAGTGGCATTGCACTGTCATAAAGCCACTGTGAAGTATGAACAGAACACCATTGTTTCTGCTTATGTGCTGAAAACACTAAACAGAGTTGCAACCTATTTGCAGAATGGCAGCAGATAATTAGGTTTATTTTAAAATGCATTTGAAGATATTCTTGTATCCAGAGATAGAGGTTAATGGATCCCATGAGAACAGTCATGTCAACCTGCAGAAACAAACAGCACGTGAAGAAAGCTTGTACTATCTGTCCTCAAGCAACTTTTGTCCAGAGTTTTCTGTGCATAAAAGTTCAGCTTTACGAGTATAAAACATCCATCTGCTGAGAGGCAGTATTTCTAATTTACCTTCTTTAATCTGAAGGGGAAAAAAAAACCAAGCAAACAAAAAACCCCACCCCCACTTAGCCCAAAAATTTCCCAGGTCTTTATTCCTAAATAAAATGGCAACATTTTTGTAACTGTTTGCTGGAATTGGGATAAAGTAATCAGATTAGATTAACACCCAATTGCTGCCAGGGATATAAACTAGAAAGTCATATCCACTTCAAATGAAGTTGCACAAATCAAGATGCTGGATGAAACCAAAATTTCCCTTTAGTATTCCTTATATAAAAACCTATCTACTCAATCATCAAAACATCAGTTGAAGCTATTTTAACATTAAAATTCACCACAGAAATTTTGCATGCTTACACACAATTATTTCTAGGGCAAACACAGAACAGCATTGTTGTTTTGATCCCTGTTAGAAGAGATTGTTTGGTAAATAAACTATGAAGAGACTTATCCTATTCACTCACCTTTATAAACTTCACTTACACCTACATCAACTACATCAACCTCACCTACATCAACTACACTTGGTTTCTTTCTTTATAACGTTGACATTTTCAAAATAAAGCAGCAACAAAAGACTCACTCCAAAAACACACTTCTGCAAAACAGTCCCATGTTGTTAAATCACACAAGCAAGATGCTTATTCTAAGGTGTATTTAATATAATCTTTTACTTTGACAAGATACTATGTGACTTGGGATTCCTTCAGCTGAATTTTAGAGTAGAGAGCTGGTAGATAAACAAGCTTAATTAAAAATACTTACTATTGATAATAAGAATTCATTAGCTGGTTTGGATCTACTATGACAACAGCCTCCAGAATAGAACACAAACATTTCTTGCTTACTGTTTGCTGCAGTGTGGTCTCAAATAATCAAGTCATACTGAGTAAGAACAGCTTCACAGTAATCCAAGAACTCTAGCAGATTAAAGCTAATTAAAAATCTTGCTAAAGGAATATGAAATTCATTCTTCCACGCCTTCATATTCAAAACAACGTCTTAATTTACAACATTAACTGTGTTAACATTAACTCAATCCAAATCCCACTGTGGTACATGGTATCCTCTCCTTTATGCCTGCATCCTGAGAGCAGTAAAGAATGTTCTCTAAGTAGCGTGCTGGAAAGGGAGAAATCTTAGCACAAATGATGTCTTCATCATGTTTCATGCAACTTTGAAAGTGCAATATTACACTGCTCATGATAAAACATGCTTCAGTGTTGGTTGTATTTGATATAGATAGACAGATGGATAGTAAGTGAGAGGGTTTTTATTGTTTTCTTTTGTTTTTACCTTCAGAGCATTTGCCCGTAAGTGATGCAATAAGCAGAGAATCAGTTCAAAGCTCAGTGAGTATACCCCACCCCATGAAACATCAAGGCTGGTATTTAATTCAGTCATGAAGGCATAGAAATGAACATAATATGAGGGCGTGGGCCTTAATCTTTATGCTTCATTGTACAATATGTGGGCCAAAAGAAGAAACTACACAGTAACGACAGCACTGAAGAAGCCTTTTAAGGGTTTGAAAAAGCCTGACAGTGCTTTAAATAGTAATAGTTTAAAACAAAAATGGTAATACAATGCACAGAGGAATCTAGCTTTTTAACATTTGCTTTTAGGCTAGCTTCAGTGGAGGAGACAACAATGTTGTGACGTTTTCTAAAGCTCAATGCCATGATTCTTTCAGGAAAAAAATAGAAATAATATTGAGGAGGGTAAGTAGATAAGCAATTTCCCCTATTGTTTTTTTTTTTTTAAGACTGGTTTGGTGCCATCCACTGTGCATGAACTCACTTCTAATGCCATTACATCCTGTCTATACATAGTCCAGTTTCCTCTGTACTCTTTTTGTGAAGCTTAATCCACCACAGAGCTTGGGAAATGCTTAAAGAACACAGCACAGACTATCTTGGGAGACTTATATTCCTTGTGAGTATAAAAACGATTGAACAAATAAATAATGTGGTCTTTCTAATTCAGAGGATACCTACAGTTCTATTTACTTACTTAAAAGACCACAACTGGGACATGTTCAGTGTCAGGGTAGAAGCATAAAGAAAAAACAGAACAGTAAAAGGGATCTGGATCAAAGAAAAATGTTATAAATTCATCTAAATGTATTAAAGGAATTTTTACTCTGTTAAGAAGATGAAGCCAGGATCATATTAAATAATCAGGGTGTAAGAGAACTCCCACTAGACACAGAACGTCTATGAGGTGAACTGTTTTACTGAACCGTTGCAATGCAGTATTAGAGGATGCCAGTAGATGAAACCATGACATGTATCTGTACTGAGTCTATTTAAGGAAGAACTCCGGAGAAAAAGGAGGAGAGAAGCATCAAGGACAGCAGGAGTAACTAAACCCTGGCTGTATCAGCTCTTGATCTTCCCACTCTAAGGGTGAGGAAGCAAAAATCTGCCATCTCTAACCTGTACAGCAGGCTGAGCTGATAGGGAAAAACATTAAATACAGACTGTATTTTTACTGTCTGCAGACTGCCATGTAGGAAAGAGAATTTAAATATTCACTTCTTTTTTCTGCCAGATAACATTAGCATTGCACATTACTGTTTCAAAAGAAGAAGGCACCTATTTATATCCCATGGCTAAAAAGCCAAAGGTACACACATACTCATTTTTCAGATATGACTGTGCAATTATTTCCACTCCAGCTGTACAAGGTCCACTCAGAGTCTTTTCCACATATAACAACATGCATACACATATGCCTTCTTGCTCTTACCGTCACTTGACGTACAGTTTTGAAGATGTGGGAAAAGACCAAATCATTATGAACATCAGTCCCTTACAGTAGTCCCTGCAGTTCAATGACTTAGTCCACCTTGAGCCTGCTCACACAACATTTAGATGAGCTCAGGCAGTGCCTTTAAAGCATCTGAAGATGTAAATATTCAACAGCAACCATCCTGAGCACAGATATTCCTAGGCATGTATGTGCCTAACCTCCAGTGAAACGAACAAGAATTGGAAACTGAAATGCCTGTAAGGACTTGAGACCTTGTCCATTCTGCCTCTGGGTTATTTGTTTTCTCTCCAGCTCCCTCTGGTGTCCTGAACAACAAATGACCATCAACTCACTGGACTGCACCGCATGTCCATGCATACACTGCTTTGTTACACTGATATGCAGGGTAGAAAACTTACAGAGTGGCTAAATGGAAACTTCGTTCTTTCCAGGATCCAAAATCAGGGTTGAGAAAACACTTAAGAAACAGCAACCTTTTACTAGCCTTAGCTGGCACCAAGGATGGTTACTCAAAGTGAAGATTTACAGAGCGCTACCACGGCCTCTCTTGAAAAGCAATAAATAAGAAGAAAATGCTAAAAAAAAAACCCATTATTTTTCAACTAATCTTGAAGACATATATTCAGAGAGGGGAAAAAAAAGCATACAAAAAGCTTCCTCCAAAAACAGTTAAACTGGCCAGGAGCACTGTCTCCACATTATCACCAATTTGCAACTGCTAACATAAAAAAAAAAAAATAAATATTAGACTCACCATCTCCAGGCACTGACATGAAATGAGCATCAACCCGTTTTTCATCCTCTCCGTACTCATTCTTTGCCAGTAATGTGTAAGCACCATTATTCAGGTGGGTAGGATTGTCCAGCTGAAGGCAGCCATGGTATTCACTTTGATTGATAACATGTATTTTAGTACAGATGTATTCAGACTCGTTCAGTATAGCCCCTTCATAGAACCACTGCAATGTGGGCTTAGGGTTCCCTTTCACAGTGAATGGAATACACCAGTGGTGGTCCGGGGTCGGAGATTCAATAAATGTGATATTTGGTGCAACTACATTGGAAAAAAGAGTGAAGAACATCAGAATATTCTGAACATGTCTTTCCTCCCCTTCCCACGCTCATCCAAAGTTATCAAGGAAGTATTTTTCATTCATGAGTACAAAAGTGTGTTATTAGTAGAAATGATACCTATTTGGAGGAATACTCACACAAGAATCCACCTGCTCTGCCTAGGGTACTGTACCCACAACTGAAATGAAGCCATTCTTTAGGAAGAAACAAAACCAACTTGCTTCAGACAAAGACTGAACACCTGCTAAATCAGTTAAACCCTGCAAGTTGCGAGAAGTTCAGTTACTGGATTACTGATAAGTGGGGGAGAAACACTTTAGCTTTACACTGCTGAAAAAACGGTGCAGAGGAGTGCTGAAGGAACACAACAGCATTGAAAATATTTAAAAGTTGGCCAAAAGCAAGTAGTACTGAAAATATATTCAGCTATCAATCCAAACTTTTAGATTATTTTCTTCACAGAATCAAAGCCAAAACAGATGAGTTAATTCCCTGGATTCTTCTGTCAGGGAAAGATTCTTTTCTACTATACATTTTCTCATTCCTTGCTCAAACCTGCTAAATGCCTCAGGTTTACAGACTTGTTCTGTTTCCCTCAGAAGATTATTCCAACACCTTGCCCATTATTTCACTATTGGGAAATTTTCCTTGATATTTATTCTTAACTGCATCCAATTTCATCTAGTTATACTCCCTTTTATCACTCATAACAATGCCAAAGTCAGAATCTCATTTACACTGTTCAAACATTTCTAGTTTATGTCCCTTCCCACAGCTATTACCTATCCAATTTCAACCTACAAACGTATATATACAGTGATTTTTCTAGCTTACTCTGTCATGGGCACATGCTGTACAAAGTTTGACAAAGTTTGTACAAAGTGCTCCATTCCCATCTTCGATTAAACAGAGGGTTGCAACTTGTGAAAATACACTGTCTAGTTCACATAAAATGAATTCAGGCTGGAGCTTAGAACTGAGAAGCCAGTGTCCCTACACTACATGTCCCTTCCCCCTTCCTTGGCCAGACAAATAAGTGTATTACACAGAGCTATGACAAATAAATTTACATCTGTAAGTATAAATGTTGCAAGGATGTTATTTTTTGAAGAAAGCAGTTGTTGCTTTAGATAATAAGAACTTAAACATTTGTAGTCTCCTATAATTAATTCTATGAGCCTTTTGATGCGTTCACACCTCAGTGCATATGTACATGCACAACATTACTGACATGCACAACCCACACTGACAGCATCATTATTTTGGGTTTCAGACCTTTACTTACAGATCATTCTATAAAATAAAGAAAATAAAGCATTTAGAACGACACTTTTTGCAGAATGCAGGGGTGAAAAAAATGATAAACACAACAACTGCTGACTGGGCTGCTCCCAGCATGAACTGCAGTAAATAGCTCACATGCCTTAAGTGTTTCTGTCTCAACAACCTGTGTGCTCAGAAAATATTTGTACCCAAAACAGTTGCTGCCAATGCAGATGGGTCGCACAAGCTGCATGGAGGCCTATGTACGTACAGAATACTGTGAGCTCGGCAGAGGCTTGGTCCTCTCCCACAATGTTCTCTGCTACGCAGGAAATCCATAGTCCGCTGTCCACGGATGAAACGTTCTTTATGGTCAGTGAGGCTGGGTTCTTACTTGTGTCACTCTACAGGTGATGAGAAAAACATGTATGTGTCAACTGCAGCATAAAGAACAAGGGAGAGGCAGGGAATCACTGGCCACAGTTGAATGGCACTTCTCATTTTTCCTTCCTTTTAGCTGTATCAGTTCATAGTTAATCAAAGTCTTACTTTAGTGTCTTACCCAAACAGACACAAAACACATAGAACCAATTGTAATCACCAGTGGCAGTGGATTCAAAGCTCCAAAAGCCCTGCTATAAACACTGCACTCAACCATTCTTCTGTTCTGTCACATTCAGTTTCTGCCTTTGTGTACAAGTCTTCTTTCCCTCTACCCATACATTTCTTTCTCTACCCATACACTTGTTCATCCCTCTCTCCCACTTTGTGACTTACTTCTACGGTCTATCTCTGCTCCTCTTTAACTTTTTCTTCCCTCCTATATTCTGTTCAATCCTTGCTTTACTCTTTTCTTTGTCTCTTCCCTTTACACTTGACACTTAACACCTCTTCCACTGCTGCCTTCTGAGCCCTACTGTACATTGAAAACAATGTGTCTTCATCCTTCTTAGCCAATTTTCTCTTGAAAGAAATTTCTTCTCTTCACTTTCTCTTGAAAGCTTCTTTTTCTCACGAAACCTTCCACAAGAAATTACGTACCTTTTACTACTTATGCTACTGCCCAAGTACAGTTCTCTGTGTTTAAGCACAGACCAGGTAAAGGTAAGAATTATGATTCTTAGAAATCTTGATTCTTATGACTTAGAAAGCTCAGTGCCCATTTACAGCCTTACATGCCATAGTGAATATGCAGCTATGCAACACTGAAGAAAGCAAACAGGGCTGAAATTAAAAAAAATAAGCAAATCTAGTTGTTAAAGTCTCTTGTTTACTTAAATCATGTCCTTCATACGATAATCACATTTTGCATACTTGATTTTTTCACAAAATGCAAAACTATTTTCTTAAAAAGGAACCAAAACACGTTCAGAGAATAATTAGAAACACATTCAGAGAATAATTAGAATATTTTTTAAAACTACTTGTGAGGTACTTTTCTTAGTGCACACATTCACTTCAGTGTTGCACAGAACACAAACAAATAACACACTGCACCTGTAAAACCAGTGACTGTCAATGGCGGACGATGGGGACAGACAGGAACACTCCTGCACATGATTCTGTGGGACTAGAATTTTGAACCCCAATATGACATCTTAACTCCACTTAAGTTAAATGTCCCTTTGATTTTAGTGTGACACTAGGGGAGGGGAGTGGAAAAGCAAATGCTCCATTACACATTTCTCTATATGCAACTCTCAGGTGAGCAGTGCTCAAAGATGGACTGAAAGGAGAGGGGCTCAACCACAAGATCAGGGCTGATATCTAGTACAAGAAAAACCTAAAAAATATCAACTGGATTGTAGATCGGCATAGAAACTGAGAGCACGCTGTTATCTTTGCAGGACTAGAGTTTTGGTTTAAGCTTTGTTAACATCTCTCTTTGTAAAACAGGAAAGAAGGAGAAAACAAGCAAAAGCTGCATAGGAGATGAAGAAAAGGGAGGCAGAAACTGAGACATCTAAGTGAGAGAAAGGAAACTAAAAACAACACTCACAGAAAAGGAAAGGATAGTTGTGAATGGCAAATGAGCTTTAAAAGGCACTCATTCTTCTGCTACTGAAAACACTACTGTGCACCATGGCTAAGGTTGTAGCTAGCCTATATTATAAGACCCTCTGAAATCTCAAGATGAAGCTATTGGCAGGACAGAGTATTTCTGGAAAGCTTGAGGCGAACTGGCCGTGGCATTTCAAAGACAGAAGGGTTAAAAAATTAGGCAGTCTCACTTTTTGAACAGCATTACACATACATTTTGGCTCATAACTCAAAAAAAAAAAAAAAGAAGAAGAAAGAAGACCACGTGGCATAGGTTCCCCAACCTGTTTTAATTTCTTGTTCTTCATGACGACTCATGCCTCTGGGTAGTTTTACAGATTAAATTTTAAAAATAAAACTAGAGCTCTGCAGAGCTCTTACTGAAGACAGCTGAAATACAAGCTAGTCAAACTCTATACAGGACCAATATAATGACTTCAAGGAAGAAAGTACCAAGACTATGGGATCCCAGAGGTCCTGTCTCTTCCACACTGCAGGAACAGTTTAGAAAGCACTCATCCTGCACCATGTACAGACCAGGAAGTTTTAGGCAGTCTGCATCATCATGAATGTAGGAAAGCCAATGGCATAAAATTGTAAATAACAGAGGGTCTTGCACACTGTGTAAATAATGTCAATTTAAGAGGTCAGCAGCCACATCTCGAATATCTGTTTATATGCTTCTCTCTATCAACACTTTCATTAGAAAGAACTTAAATCATTTTAACTCTAGTGTGCACAGAGTCTAAGGTAGGGACACAGAATACAAAGATCTCAGAAAACAAAATTCCCTCTGCCTAGATGATTTTATTGAGGAAATATCTTCATACTTCATTAAAAATCTGCCATTCTTTTTAGTAAAACCTTCACTTCAATTTCCAAGGTTTTCTGTTGTTGCTTTGTTTGTTGAAGGAAGATTAAATAACTCACAAAATAATATTTACAACCGAATTCCAACAGATCAAAATATTGGCGTGAAAATACAGTAAAACTAGAGACACAAAGCTTTTTTCATGATTAGGATAGATAAAAATTTTCTCTGTATGCAGGTGTAAGTGACACTAAGAAAGCCCTTGTGTTTCAGTAACCCAATTCACCATGTTACTTCCAAAACATTGCAGTACTCTCACATACAAGTGAACATCCGAAAACCAGAGTACAAATCAGAGTCTCAGACAGAGAATGCCTGCCATTCTCCAAAAGCACTATGGCAGTCATCCTGGATTGAGAGTAACAAATGTAAACCCAACATTAAATTCCAATTTCATGTTTTTAATAAAAAGTTAACTAAAGCTGGACACAGACCTTCATTCCATCCTTCAGCGGGTATCTCCTGTCTCTGAATTGTCACATATTTGAATACTAAACTTACCTCATGGTTTGAAACAAGATTAGTGAGCACCCAGGACACATTAGGGGGTGGTCCGCCAGTAGTATCACAGTACAATGTGACGCTCTTTCCTTCCACCACAGTGATGTTGTAATTGCTTAAGTTTGCTGAGGGCAAGTCTACGATAGAAACAACAAAAAAACCCACATGCATTTGTATTTGACAGAAATAGACACTACTCAATTCTAAGCAGGCTGTATAAATACAAACAAAAACAGCACTAAATGAGGTATTCACTGTGGTCATTTACCAGTCAGGGAATACAAACAGCATCTTTGAAAACATATAACTACTGTCTCTAAGCTGCTACGCAACATATTTCTGTGGCTCCACCACTTCACATTCTAAGAAAACATTAATGGATGTGGAAATACATGAAGCTAATTATATAGGAAAATGTTTCAGATTGGCAAACAGAAGTTATCTTAAATTCAGTTTTTAACTTCAAAATGAAAAAATGAAGAAAACCCTTCCCTTATTCTTTAAAACAGAAAATGTAATCTCTTTGTAACAGCTGCCAAGAAACTTCTATTTTCAACGAACTGACATTATTCGCACTGTTCTCTACAACACTAACAGGAAAATCCCAGCTCCCAGTATCACCCACCCTTTCACACCGAGACACAGCTCAGAGAGCAAGGCAAAACCTAGATCTTAAGTACAAAGTGAGCAAAACAGAGCACTGAAAAGATCAAACCAGAGAAGAGAAAGGACAGAAGACAGGGTTAGCAACTGCACAGACCTGCTATCCAAGGCACCTCAGCAGACTTTGCTATTGCTCTCAGGAAAGCAGAAAAGCTTTGAGATAGTACCACTCACCAGGGAAAAAAGCAATGAGATGGTACTACTGACCAGCAAACAAGCCCAGATTTTGCAAGCATCAAGAATCCCCCTCCATCTCACAGAGCTATAAAGCACTCTGTATCTAATTCTTCAGCACCCAAAGCAATGGGAGTCCTCAAAATGTATGCTGAATGCTTACAAAACCACAAGGAATTAAAAGTAATGCCAGCAATTTCAATAAAATTCAGGCAGAGAGCACCTCATGCTTCATATTTATTTAGATGCCAAATAATTACGCAACATGTTAGAAATACAGTTCTTTCTTAAAAGATACCATGCCATCATTTGGAGTTGTTACACTCTAAAAATCCTTGGCCTTCTTTATGAGGCATTTGTCATCATCTGCTCCAGGTAAGGTTTACTTACATGTCATTATCTCAAATAATCAAGATTATCTGCTGTGTTAGATATGTGTGCAGGATCTTGCAATGACTTTTCCCTTTCTGAAACAACAGTTCCCTTTCTTTTTTTCTTTTTAGTTAAGAGTACAGTAGTTTCATCATGAACTTGCAGGTATAGAAGTTTAGCAGAGACTTTTTTGCTTATGTAAAAAGTACCACAGAAACAATTAAACATCGTATCAGTGTGAACACATTGATTTGTTTACTAGAACTTCAATAGAAGCTATATGTATCAGAAATTTCCCTTTATGTGTAATTAGTTCAATAAAAATTAAATGAGAGGAGTAATATCAAAGGGAAGGCAAATAATTTTTACAGGCAATGCCTTCTTGAAGCTTTGATTTGAAGCTCAGCACAAGTATAAAATAACTGCTTAGGCAATTCTCCCAGTGCTTTAAGCAGTGCTGTAACATGATTCCTGGTGTAGGCATCATGGATTTCTTCTATTATGTTCACTTTATAAATCATATGTTGAAGCTTATTGAGACAGAGCTGGACAGTTTGTATGCTTTGATGCAGTAATCTGTTAGCAAAGGTAGCCATCTGCTCTTTCCTGCTGTGAATTCAAATTTCAGCAGTGTCTGTCAACTAGCTGGGCAGGAAATAAAACTAATCTTAGGGAACATTTAGATACTAATTTTTCTGGTTAGGATTTAAGAAGTAAATCTTCTTAAGAAGGAGGGGAGGGAGGGGAGGGGAGGGGAGGGGAGAAGAAAGGAGGAGAGGAGAGGAGAGGAGAGGAGAGGAGAGGAGAGGAGAGGAGAGGAGAGGTCACATTATTGTATGTGTTTTCTTTCACTCTCTTTCTCAGTCGTAAGAGGTGAGTGGGAAACATATACAAGAATTGCCTTGAGATTCATTTTTTCTGGTTGGATATCTTGAGCTAGCGAACATTAACTGCAAGGTCATTTTGGTTTTTATTTGTAGAAGCACCAAGACTGTTCCACAGCAGAATACACACTAGTTGAGAAGTGGCTCTGTAAAAAGCAAACAATAGCATAAGATCTTGTATCTAGAAATGTGATACATTGGACTTACCAATAAAGTAATGAGACTAAGCAGTAAAACCCGTACTGAGAACTGTATTTTAAAAACCACAATGCACCCTCATAGACACATATGCTCAGTGTAGTGTGAGATCATTTATACAAGTCAGTAGCATTTTGACACCTACACAATTACGAAGATATTCAACCATGCTGCATTTACTCCTGACTTTATTTGGTTGAACATAGTGTTTTAGATGACTATCACTTCTGTTGACATGGATGCATATTTTAAGGAACATTGTATACAGTAATTGATACAAGCAGTAAGACAACAGGTTCAAATATTTTTTGTATACTGCCAGCATGATAAGTTTTGACTGTAGCATAAGAGCCCATGCAAGGTAGACATGACATCATCTTTTCACGTCTCATCTTGATATCTGTCAGACAGAAATTACCCTCCGTCCCAAAGCTCGAAACACAGTATCTCTTTCAAACTTTGATAGCATTAAATATTATAATTCTGAATATCAGTATTAACCCTGCTAGTATCCAATTTCTTTTTTAAGTCTGCTATATTCTTGGCCGTAATAGCCTTCTGCAGCAATGAGTTCCACAGGTGTACTGTCCAGGCTGTATACAAGAGCCATTCCCTTTTCCCAATTCTGAAATTTGTCTGTGATGTTCCAATTCACTGGGTCCTCTCCTGTTCTGAATAAAACCTGCTTTTATTTTGCTTTCTCAAGTCCCTTTTCTTCTCAATAATCTATCCAAAGTTTATCAATCTCTACCAAAATGGGAAGACAGAACCTGCTATTGAGAATTTTAACCTGTATAGAGTTATGCAGTTCAACAGATGCAAGCATACACTAAAATCTGTATGTTTAATTATGCATGGGCATATAACAGCTATGTTATTTCACTATATATAGAATATCTGTTTTTATATTCAAATTTATAACATTTTATTCCCGAGAATAGGCAACTCTGGACTAGCTTAAGCAGTCAATTCCCTTAGCCCAGCACAACTGGACACAACAGAGAAAAGCAGGAGGAATTTATTTATGTCAGCTGAGTCTCTCCAAATACCATCTCATGCTTTAGAAGGAACAAATCCTCCTGCAAGTATGGGAGGGTATGCTGTTTACCTTCACTGATCATCATTAGTGCAAACTGATGGCCCGAGGTCATCAGACAGTGGAACTGTCAAGCATCACTAGGGAATGACTCATATCTTCATTGTGCACAGCTGAGACCTGAGCAATCACAAAACTAAATACTTCAGATGAAATTTTCAAGGTTACTACAGCATTTTGCTACACAACTGTCAATTGACATTAATAAAATAAAATGCCTAAATTCCTAGAGGGCTTTCAGTCTTCATGCTGCTACTTAACTACTTTCTACAAAAAACTTACACTGGCCTTGGTAGAGCCAGACTGTCACTTTATGTCAAAGGAAGGATACGACCTAGTTAAGAAATAACTGAGTATTAACACTAACTCTGCGGTCTGCAACTCTACTCTCAGTACACTACAGCAAGTAGACCTTTTAGAAGAAGGTCCTAAGCAAGGACAAAAGAATCTACCATTACACCCACGACATTGTTTCACTGGTTAACTATCCTCACAGCTACAAAAATTTTTACAAAATTGATTGACCAGATTGACTTTTTCAGCTTCAGCTTTCATCTGTTCAGTTCTGGGATTTGCTCAGCTGCTCAAAAACCTTCTAAAATATTTTCTCAATATGGTCAATTATTCTCACTAATACCTAAGAAAGTATGTGTTGAAGAAATGAGCACCTGAGAGAATACCATAAATCCAATATTGCATTCATTTATGCCGCTCTTTGCACACTAAGATTTTCGACAGCCTGTTGAAAAACTCCCAGGAGTCTAGCCATGATGCAGAGGTACTAAATGGTTTTCAATGTGGCCCATGACATATCTTTTTTGCTTGGCACATTTTTGCAGGTCAGCCTGTTCTGTGATAAGAACAAGCAGTTACCAAGAAAAAATTGACAGTTTTTATTCTCAAAACTAGCCAACTACACCTGAATTTTAATAAGGTCATTTTAATCCTTACCTAAAATCCTTCATCATCTTTTTAATAAATATATTAGACCCAAAATAATTAAATTAATGCTAAGACAGCAACCATCTATCAAACTGAATCATGTAAATGTTGACTACCAGAACCACTGATTTATACTGATTTAAAAAATATCGCCTGTAATTCATAAGAAACAGTGGTCCAAATCTAGTTTGCTAGCCTCACATAAGGTTTCAATAGAGTCCAAGGTTGTTAGCTCCCTGGTTTTGCTTTTTCTCTCTAGGGAGAAAACATACAACTAATTACAGCACTACGGTACAGCTTGGTAACATCCACTACTTGTCCTGTGTGGAGCCTGAAAACAGAAGAGTCAACAGAGCAATCTGTTAAGAACTGTACACATGGAACTGCAAATTTCAGAGGTCTTACTGGCTCTGAACAGGCTGTATCATTATCTTATATCATTCTATTAAAAATCTGCCTTGTTTGAAAATACAGAAATGTTTACCAATTCCGGAAGCCTTTTCCTTTGGACTTTCATGGGTTTTAAAAATAAAGCAAAAAAAACTTCCAGTAATTCTAGCTATAAAGCTAGTAGCTGTTGGATACATGATACGCCTCCTGTGTTTCACCGAGCAACTGTCTGCAGCCAACAAGGTCTGACCCAAATATCAGCCATGGGATAAGCGGGCATTTTTCCACTTCAGTCTGCGGAACAAGAAGACCAAAAGTCTGCCTGGCTACACCTTTAGCACTATAAACAGGATAGCCCACCAAGAGTTTAATTGCAAAACATGAATTAAAGTAACATAAATATTTTTTTGTATTTTCC